ATTGGCTCTTCTGTGCCTGTCTCCCTTTCTGTTCATGTCTGTTTGCTTGTCTGTATTGTCTTTTCTTTATTTGTTTAGTTTTTTCCTATAAAATGTTTCTTGATAGTCGTCCTTGTCATTTCTTTCTTTTTTCTTTCTTTCTTTTTGTCTTTCTTGCTTTTTTTCTTTCTTTCTTGCTTTCTTTCTTTTTTCTTTTTTTTTTCCCCTTTCTTTCTGTAGCTGCTACCATTGCTTTTGAGTCCATGCCGTATAATATTGATCCAATCTATCCACAGCCTTCTGTGTCTTGCAGTACTCAGTCATTTATGATATAGATGTTTCTCCACACTACCAAGCCACATCTAACATATCAGAGATGTTTGTATAAACTCTTTGACCCTTGAAAATGTCTCTTCACCTGGACTTTAATCAATGTTATTACTCAAAGACAAACGTGTCAGCCCCTCCCCCCCCCCCCCCCCCCCGTAACTGCACCGTTCCCGTGCTAATGAGAATCACACAAAATGACCGTCAATGAGTTGGGCGACAAGTCGGACAGACAGACAGACAGCAGTCCCTGTTAAATCCACCAGCGCGCACACTCATTAAACACACACAGCAGTCGCTAGAGTTGCCAGCGCCAATAGTGCGGTGATAAGGTTGTTTGATGTGAAAGATTCCGTTCTGTTTCTTGCGTCATCAGTGCGAAATTCCGAAGCTCCTCTACTGATCCTCACTGGAAACTACGTGATCCTCACTGGAAACTACATGATCCTCACTGGAAACTACGTGATCCTCACTGGAAACTACATGATCCTCACTGGAAACTACGTGATCCTCACTGGGAACTACGTGATCCTCACTGGGAACTACGTGATCCTCACTGGGAAGTGAATGCGACCCACGTGATATTTACCACAGCCCCATCGGGCTATAAAAATATTGGTCTAGCATCTTATTTCTGCTGATCCAGTGGCAGGAATAAGTTCCTGTACTCCTATTTTGGCGCCGCCTCCACAGTAAAGGTTGGCTGGCTACAGGTTGCTGATTGCTGACTGCCCTTTTCTTTTTTAACTATGACCTGGTGAAACCGCAATATTCTACACGGTGCGAGACCGTCTGAAAACCACTATTTTGTTTTTCTTCTTCTACTTCGCGTTCACCAGCAGTACACTCTGGCGGAAAGTTCTGGTTGTTCGTCCACTTCTGGACTGCAGTCCTGCTCCAGAACCTGAGTGTTGCGTGTGCATCAGTTTTACAGATCTGATTCACTTGAATGCAGACTGTTGGTTCCTTGCCTCTCAGGCAGATGCACTCCGACTTCAAAGGAAGCTCCCAATTAATCGACTCTCACAACATGCTTTTGGTGATTCAGTGGGTCTATTCTTGTTTTCCCCACAACGGGGCCCCGGAACCCACACGGGGATATTTTGTTTTTAATAAACTGTCCTCCCTGATACGGAAATCCGTTTATGAAACTGTTAAACTCATTGTCACTAACCTGTGAGCTACAGGCCCGAACACTATCTATCTTTACTGACTACTTCAATGTGAGCTACAGACCCGAACACTATCTATCTTTACTGACTACTTCAATGTGAGCTACAGGCCCGAACACTATCTATCTTTACTGACTACTTCAATGTGAGCTACAGACCCGAACACTATCTATCTTTACTGACTACTTCAATGTGAGCTACAGACCCGAACACTATCTATCTTTACTGACTACTTCAATGTGAGCTACAGGCCCGAACACTATCTATCTTTACTGACTACTTCAATGTGAGCTACAGGCCCGAACACTATCTATCTTTACTGACTACTTCAATGTGAGCTACAGACCCGAACACTATCTATCTTTACTGACTACTTCAATGTGAGCTACAGGCCCGAACACTATCTATCTTTACTGACTACTTCAATGTGAGCTACAGGCCCGAACACTATCTATCTTTACTGACTACTTCAATGTGAGCTACAGGCCCGAACACTATCTATCTTTACTGACTACTTCAATGTGAGCTACAGGCCCGAACACTATCTATCTTTACTGACTATTTCAATGTGAGCTACAGGCCCGAACACTATCTATCTTTACTGACTATTTCAATGTGAGCTACAGGCCCGAACACTAGCTATCTTTACTGACTACTTCAATGTGAGCTACAGGCCCGAACACTATCTATCTTTACTGACTACTTAAATGTGAGCTACAGGCCCGAACACTATCTATCTTTACTGACTACTTAAATGTGAGCTACAGGCCCGAACACTATCTATCTTTACTGACTACTTAAATGTGAGCTACAGGCCCGAACACTATCTATCTTTACTGACTACTTCAATAGCCCAAATGTCGGTATGCACGTTAAACTGATGTGTAAGCTAAATACAGGCACGTTATTTGCGTTGTCTGCTCTGATTGATTAGTCGGTTTGACTTGACAAGCTTTATGCATCATGCAGATATTGTAGGCATATAAATGGTTCTGGCTGCAGTCTTTACTCTCTGTAGTGCAGACGGTTTCGTTACTTATATGTATTTCTTTGCACGTTTTTTTTTTTTTTTCGATTTTCCTGCTGCGTGTTCTGTTGCAAACTACAGAATGTAAAGTTGCCTAGTCATGTGTTAAAACCCGACATCATAGCACTCGAGACATTCCCATGAACCCTCCGTCCCCACCAGCAGCAGCAAGCACAGAGGTCCCATTCTGATGAACAGTAGTTTCATTACACGTCAGTCTTGTTTCCTCCGAGTGTCGGCCAGATCATCTAGTCACTCCTAGCTGCACCATTCTCTTCAGACAGTAATCGTCTTATTGCGCTTCCACCTGCTCCTACAGGGCCTTGACTGCACCTAGCTTGGCATGCCTCAGCTCACCACCTAGTGTTAAGGAACCAGCCAATCCAGCGCCCTAATAGTTGAGAACAAAGAAGACACAGGCTACAGAATGTGTGTGACATGTTTAGCCGCCTCTGGGACTAGGCTCAATAAGCTAACACATATAAATGAAAGATGCGTAAACATGACGGCAAGTCACTTGCCTGCTGGCCCTGCGCCTGGGAATTAAATTCACCTCCAAGCTATTTTCCAACCTGTCTTTGCCTCTCGGGTTGATCTAATCGAAAATGGGTGCCATATACTGTTCTGGAAAGTAAAGGCGACCGGCGTGATCATGAGCACATCGCTCAAAGAGCTCCGATTGCTCTATAGATGATGTGGGTCTAGAACTAGGTGCAATTGGACAGATTTCAGATCCACTACGCAAATAAGACAAGAGACCAAGCGAGATCAAATCAGTCCAGTTTTATAAGACAGCGCCGCTAGAACTACATCCGCCATGCACTCGGAATGGATAGGACTGGACTCCCCCATCAAACCTTTATATGGACACCGGAAGGGAAAAGAAAACGGGGAAGATCAAGAGATGCCCTGCGTAGAATCTTCATCAGGAAAACCTCAGTCATGGGCCTTATGAAAATTCAAGACCTAAAACAGGTGGCAACGAACCGCCAGATATGGAGAGCTGTGACCTCTGCCCTATGCGCCGCCCTAGACTTGAGAGGAAAGACTAACTTGTGACCTACGAGCCAAATGCTTCTATGAATGTAAATAGCTGGGGGGGGAACAAGTCTGCTTCTACTCATGACAAACAAGACACCCTCAGTGCCAGTCAGTGTGGGTTCTGAGACCCCATGGGGGAGGGGTGGAGGGGGAGAAAGATCCCTTAACAAGCCTGTCGGTAGAGACGACCAATTACGAGTGTTTCCTTCGAAGTCAGAGGACATCTCAAGAGCAAAGTGTGCAGGGCAAGCTATAGGAAACCACCAAGGACCTACAACTGGCATGTGAATTCCTAGAGGCAGCCCACCCAACGATCTGACCTGAGCATACGAAAACGAACACAAAGAAGGAATCGAACAACCACAGCTTTCCGTCGGAGTTTACAGACGTTCAACTTCCGGCCTCAAAAAAGAGGATTAGGCATGGCAGATTGTTCAGCTTCAAAGTTATTTTTGCAGCCTACAGCGCTTGGCTAATGCAGTTTCCACATAAGGAAGGTAGTCTACGGTTTCTCTGCTTTGGCTACTGAGGTTAGTTCTTGGTGCAGTCCTGTGAGCTGTGTTTTTCCTGCCGAATGCCTTTCATTTGTTTAGCGGTTGTGTCGTGGTATTCAATATGGTCGGTAGCCGGTTTAAATGTGAGCTGGTGAAATACGTTATGTAATAATTCTACATGTGTATGGCCAACTTATCCGGCCCCACTACTTCCATCAATGAGACAAACTGCATTTCTGGTGGCGACTGTTGGCTTTGGCGCCTCTAGCAACTGAAATATGTATTTACTGCGTGCGCATATTTCTGCATTGTTCTGTGACTAATTGTTTGTTCACCAGTTTTTCAAATGGTACAGTGAGGGACATTTTATTTGATTTTCACTGGTACAGGGACGGAGCAAGTATGGGAAAACCCGATTGCAGCGCAGTTAAAACCTCGACTAAGACTTAGACTAAGCCGTTGAACACTCACAAGAAGAAACATGCTAATTGGTGCATGTCAGGTTGTGTCTATATTTTTACAGACCAATTTACCTTTAAGTCTATTCCTGGTGCTTTATTAATGTCCTATCCAAAACAGGGAAAATCCACAGGTCACGGGACAGTGTAATATTGCAGGGGGTTGTAGATAGGCTGCATGCTGTCGTGGGACCTAGGCTGCATGCTGCCGTGGGACCTAGGCTGCATTCTATAGTGGGACCTAGGCTGCACTTTCTCGCGGGACGTAAGTGCGTTGGAGTTAGAGCCAGTTCTAGGTGTTTTGGGGTCGTTAAAAGCATCAGAAAGCGGGAAACCCAGTCTTACCACTCTCTAAAATGTTGGACTGTCCTGTGACGTCATCTGGGGGTAGGATATTAATAAAGTACCCTATTCCCTTTTGTCATGACACTGCGAGGAACAGCAAAGAAGAAAGATGCTCTCCGTGACACTAACTCTCCATGTGTTTACCTGATGTTGCCAGGTGATGCTGGACTTATGTGAAGACCGATCCAGCTGTGCTGTCCTGGCAAGTCCAGAGACTTTCACACAAGATCCGTGTGTGGGCACTCCCAAGTACTTAGAGGCTTATTACAAATGTCGACCCGGTGAGTAAGGATTCTCTCTCTCTCTCTCGCTCTCTCTCTCTCTCTCTCTCTCTCTCTCTCTCTCTCTCTCTCTCTCTCTCTATCCCTCCCGATACCCTTGTTTCTCTACCATTGTATCTCCGCCTTGCTCCATCTTTCCACAATTAACTTCATTCGTTGATTTTTTGCCTCTGCGCTTTGTCTGTCTCCCTACCTCGATATATATTACAATCCCTATATCTCGTTCTCCTTCCCTTATCTATCCCAGTCTTCCCCGTCTCTCTCTCTCTCTCTCTCTCTCTCTCTCTATATATATATATATATATATATATATATATATATATATATATATATATATATATATATATATATATATATATATATATCTTCTCTCCCTCGGTATATTTCGCGCTTTCTGTCAGTTTTCGTTGTTGAAATCAAAAGTTATATTACGTGAGCCATAATTTTAATAATTCATCTGCTTTCGGCCATTAAGTGGATTTTTTGGGGCCATTATTTATACATGTATGTATTTCTTCGAATCCACAAAGTTAAATTTTTCGATGTTTGTCAGTTACAAATCTGTATCGAACAAGTAATTTCACAAGATATGCGTGTTTAAAGGGAATGTGCCTGAGAGGCAAGGAACCAACAGTCGGCAAATAAGCTGATCTGTCAATCGGATGTCCTTGCACGACTCAAGTTCTGGCACAAAACTGAAGTTTAGAAGTCGAGGAACGACCAGAACTTTCCACCGAAGTTTACAGGCAGTGAACGCTAAGAAGAAGAAGAAGAAGAAGAAGAAGAAGAAGAAGAAGAAGAAGAAGAAGAAGAAGAAGAAGAAGAAGAAGAAGAAGAAGAAGAAGAAGAAGAAGAAGAGGAAGAAGAAAAAGAAGGAGAAGAAGAAGAGGAAGAAGAAGTAGAGGAAGAAGAAGATGAAGAAGAGAAGAAGAAGAAGAAGAAGAAGAAGAAGAAGAAGAAGAAGAAGAAGAAGAAGAAGAAGAAGAAGAAGAAGAAGAAGGAAGAGGAGGAGCCGGAGCAGAAGAAGAATACGAGATTATCGACTTCATTGCACCGGGTTTTATCTCCTGCGGTACAGTCTCTTTCCACAAAAGATCTACCCACCTGTCTAAAGCGTTGCACAGAGCACGAATTGCCTAGCAGCAGCGACCATCCTCTGGGATGTCTGTAAAACTGGCAATACCACGTGGTTTGGAAACGCACCTACGACTGTCAGAGTTCAAGGCAGGCCGGCTTATCCACTCAGTCATGAAGATACCAGGGCATTTCTGGAAGGATTTCATGCCTGGCTTGTCTACGGATCCGAAGGTAGTGGGTTCAGATCCTGGCAAAGCCGGACTTTTTCACAACTGACCTTGGCTCCTAGGTCGACCCGCCTTAAATGGGTACCAGGGGGAGTCCTGGGAAGTAAAGACGGCCTGCATGATGATGACCAAATCACCTATTGAGCCTTGATTCGTCTGTAAAATATAGGTATAGCCCTATATGCCCAAAATGCGTGGAGGTGTGGCGAAGAACCCTTTTATACTTCTTTATATCTCATCAGATGCATTTTTTGTTTACATTTCAGTTGCCATGCAATAAATTGTTTGTGTCTTCTTGCTCAAAGCAACTGATTGATCCTTTCATTGTCTAATAATAGTTGACAATAATGTGGTCCTTGTAGATGAGTTTGAGCACAAGACAGTCTGTGATGGCGAGACGATGAAGATAACCTGTGGTCGAGGTAACAGGATCGCTGTATATTCTGCAATGTTTGGCCGGACACCTAATGGAACTGACCGCTGTCCAGCCACCCAACAAGGGTATATAGGTAGATGGTTTTATTCATATTCTTGCTTGTAACTCTATGAGTTTTCTCTATGCTTAGTCTTTGAATGCTCAGATCTCTAGGACATATTCTGAGGACGGGATGAGGAGGATGTTAGTCCCTATGAAGAGCGAATGTTCAGATACAGCAATGGGGAACATCAACAACAGTACACTGAATGCTCAGGTACAATAAATGAGAAACATCAACAACAGTACACTGAATGTTGTTCAGATACAATAAATGGGAAACATCAGAAACAGTACACTGAGTGTTCAGATACAACAATGGGGGAACATCAACAACAGTACAATGAATGTTCAGATACAGCAATGGGGGGACATCAAAAACAGTACACTGAATGTTCAGGTACAACAATGGGGGGACATCAACAACAGTACACTGAATGTTAAGGTACAACAATGGGGGGACATCAAAAATGTACACTGAATGTTCAGATACAACAATGGGGGAACATCAACAACAGTACACTGAGTATTCAGATACATCAATGGGGGGACATCAACAACAGTACACTGAATGCTCAGATACAACAATGGGGGGACATCAACAACAGTACACTGAGTATTCAGATACATCAATGGGGGGACATCAACAACAGTACACTGAATGTTCAGGTTCAATAAATGGGAAACATCGACAACAGTGCACCAAGCAATGAGGAGGATGTTAATCCCCAAGAACATCCTCCATTGGGAATTACAGATGGCTAGAAGACGCCAAGGTCGGCCTCTACTACGATATAAAAATGTGCGAGCGGGACATGAATGATGCAGCTGTTGAGATAAATTCGTGGAAACATGATGCATTGGGCCGTGTTGTATGGACGGGCACATCAGGAAGGGAATATGGATAACAGAGTAACATTACTGCATGTTTATTACAATTCCATAACAACTGGTCCTGAAAACCCACACTTTAATTTGAAAGACTACTCGATACGAGCGGTTTTTGCTAGTCATGTTTGCCACATCAATAGGCTGTGACTCCCATGCCACCCTGTTGTTGTTGGTACCTTTCCATCTTTCCAGATGATAGTGTTGTATTGTGTTATGAGGACGCATAGAACTTGCAGTTTATGATCATGGCGAATGTTCCTAGAAAGACTCGCCTGTGTTGAGAAAAGTCTTTCACAAACAGAGCATGTGATTTCAAGATCATTGTTACCATTGCAGTATTTAGTGTGTGTCTTCTCAGACTCTCAGCTGTCCTCCTTTCTGCAATAATTTCTCTTCAGTATAATTCCCTACCTAATTTACCCCCCTGTGCTCAATATGGCCCATGGAATTTTGTACACATCAATCTACATCAGGTACAACAAAAGGGGAACATTAACAACAGTGCACGGAATGTTCAGGTACAACAAATGGGGAACATCAACAACAGTTCATCGAGCAAATGTTCAGATAAAACAAATGGGGAACATCAATAACCACACCAAATATTCAGGTACAACAAAGAGGGATCACCAACAACAGGGCCATGAATGTTCAGGTACAAAAAATCTAGAACATCAACATCAGTGCACCGAATGTTCAGGTAAAACAAAGAGGGAATGCCAACAACAGTGCACTGAGTAAATGTTCAAGAACAACATATAGGGAACATCAACAACAGTGCACTGAGCGAATGTTCAGGTACAGCAAATGGGAAACATCAACAACAGTGCACTGAGCGAATGTTCAGGTACAGCAAATGGGGAACATTAACAACAGTGCAGTGAGTGAATGCTCAAGTACAGCACATAGGGAACATCAATAACAGTGCAGTGAGTGAATGCTCAAGTACAACAAATAGGGGACATACACAACAGTGCACTGAGCAAATGTTCAGGCACAGCAAATGGTTAACATCAACAACAGTGCCCTGAATGTACAGGTACAACACATGAGGATGTGCCATAGAATTATATTACACTGAAGGAGAGAAGCAACGGTCTGACGTCACTGAGTAGTTTCCCTCACATCTGGTAATGTTGTTTAGCTACACGAGCTACATGAAGGTTAAACATAACCAAAGTCTGGAGCATGTTCGGGGGTAGGGAGGGGAGGGGGATATGAAATTAAAATGTATCATTGCCTGTCTTTAACTTCTACTGATTTGCAGAAAGTCAAACTCTGTCACTACAATTCTTTTTATTGCTATGGAGAAGATAAACTTCATACCTGGTCTCAAAGGTATCCGCAAAAGGCTTAACCCCCATGCATCCCTATGTCACAAAGACAACACTGTCGACTGGGAAAAGCGAAATGTGTTAACAACAATAATAAAGCCGAAAGTTTTTACAGGATTGAGGTGCAAAGAGAGTGTGAGTCCAGGGATTTAGTGCAGTTATCAGAAAAGCAGAATTATAATTGTAATTACAAACAAATGCAGTATCAAAATAAATGAGACAAGTATGATACATTTAAGTATGTAAGTACAACAGATACAATCTATATTAGATACATCAAATATAGAATAGCTCAAGCAAAGCAACATTTCATATGATAAGTAATTTGTCTTCCTCAGCTGAGGTGAAGGGCGTCTTAAGAGCTATAAAAAGTTAATTCTGTTGTACAATATATAGCTGCATGTCGTCCTGTTTAGGATGCAATTTTTTATTATTTGAAGCCCCACCCTGGCTTTTGCCAGGCGCCGTAATATTGGCAGGCCATTAATATGGCCAATTGTCTGAACGCGGTTTCTGGGACCTCTCCACGGCGATCCTCATCCACATGGTGGCACTTTGTGTCATTGTGTGATGTCCTGGTGGGGTAGAGAGTCAGTCAGTACAGAAGTTAAGTATGACCATCAGCCGATTTATGAAGAAATATTTAAAAGCTGTTGCCATCCTTTGTGCAGTTGTATTTCACCTAAGTACCGCAGTCTGGTCCTATATTTCTTCTTTCTTGTGCAGTCCTTGCTATATCATGGCTGGAATCCAGTCTATGACCCTTGTTCTCCTTCAGCAAGGTTCATCTTAAGGTTTCTCGTCAACTTCTTTGCTTTTTCAGTCGATTTGTTTCCCATTTTAGTGCCTACCTGTAGATTCAGTTTCCGTTGCTTTTCATGTTGTGTCAGTAGATCGCCATCTTTATGAAAGCTGTGAATATGTGGTTTTTAGGAGGGAAACTCATGTCACATTTTTCGGGCAGGTCTTGAGTAGAAAACTCAGGACACTGAGACACTGAAGAGAAAGTCGGAGGGACACTAAGACATTCTCAAGAGTCTGCATCATGACATGGAAGAACATTTTTTTTTTTTTTTTAGAGATAGAAAGTACATGAAACAGAAGTCTGTAGATAAAATATGATTACCAACGCCACATTGCATTGATTAGAAGACGTTAGCTCAAGTCGGCATTTCTTTCCGTGTTTAAGTATTTTATTCTCCTTTTGGGTTCCACGGCCTCATTGTTAAAGAGGTTGAAATAGACCCCATGTCTCTGAACACACATGTCGTAAAAAGTGACTGATTAATGATTTGTTACAATCGGATGTGCGGGGTCGAAAACGCAATTCGCATTTGTACGAACAATCTCGTCGTAGGTTATCGGTTAGTTGCGTATCCTTTACAGGACGTTGCAGAACCAACCCCAACAGGCCCTGGCTGTTGTGTGATTTTTCTAGGCAAATTTACGTCCAGTAGTTTGCCATAGCTTTCTTGATACCACTGTCAAAACCAATGCAAGGCGCATGGCCCGCAGCTGGGATCGAACCCGGCATCCCGGCATTACGAAGCGTTCGCATCGACTTAGCCACAGAGCCGACAGGTTATCGGTAGATTAGCTTAAATTCAAATCTAAATGAAGATTTTAGCCAGAAGCTGTCAGTTCGAACTTACTGTCCAAATTTTTACACCGAGTATAGCAAAAAGTGGCCAAAAACATTTAATGAAAATTTGAGTGTATATGCAGATTCTGGCCAGAAGTTGGCAATAACGTCATTCTCCGTTTCCATACTTAAGCATGTATCAAGAAACTATGCAGAAATTGTCAGCAATGATCCTCGGTATTGACACATCAATCAATTCAACGTGAACTTCTTGTCAGGATAAGAAAAGTAAGGTCAGCTCACTTTACTCCCCAGAAGAAAAAACATCACGAAGAATTCCCCCCACTGCGAGCCTGGTAGCTTGGCCCCTCGATCGTTACGCCTATGACTGTAATATGAATATTTGATGACGCACATCGATTGCATATTTCTCTAACTTCTATAGTTCTCTGTACTGGTGCACTGTGTCTGCAAGTAATTTTACATTCTCTGTACAGTCTTAACAAATCTCACTACCTAAAAGGGACTACGGTTTACTTGGTAATCGGTGAGTGCACTAATATAACTGGGTTTTACCGATGATCGGGGTTTGTGGTATTTGTTCTTGACTGATTCTCGTCCTTGAGATGTTGATCTTACAGTCAGCAATCCCCTAGAGGGCGGACTCTTATCCTCCCTATGGTAAACGCCCTGTTTTTTCTTATCCTATTTTAACTTCTTTAACACACAGTTCAAGGCCACATGATCACGTGGCTGTCTGTCATGTGTATGTGGGGGAATTGTGTAAAAACAGGTGTTTCGTGTAAATATCAATTTCTTAAATCGACCTTTAATCTATTTTTACATTCGCATCGCAACACAGCCAAAGCTTTACTCACCAGCCTCAAACGTGTAACTCACCCGCCCAAAGTGTGTGCAAAACCGCTCACGATTTTAACACATGTGACCCCACAGATTGTCAAGCTCCCAGAACTCTGTCAGAAGTGAGTAGTCGCTGCCAGGGAAAGAGAGACTGCGCCCTGCCAGCCAGCCAAGGCGTGTTTGGAGACCCATGTGCCGAAGGGATCAATACTTATCTGACTGTCTCGTATGCCTGCGGTATGTTACAACTTACGTTGTCGTGTCTTTGTGTTTCTCAAGTATGTCATTATATGGCCGGTTGCAAATATCATTACGACCGGTCTTTATCAGAGTAAACAGTTCTTCTCTACGCTTGTGGTAGGTGTTGTATTTTTTTAATATGTAAATATACGTTTTTTTCCCGTCGTCTAGTTTGTCTCATGTAATGTGTAAATAAACATCCTTAATGGTTTTTAAATCTTTGCAGAGATTGCTGTGGTGTGTTTGTGTTGTTTCTTTAGATTTGCAGTCAGTTCCGAGATTAGGCGTGGTTGTGTTTCTTAAACTACGCCAAGTCGTGTTGTTGCACCGGTGGTAAAGATCATTACGTGCAGTTGTGTACGTTATCAACACGCAGGCTGTAATAAACCTTGGCTTGACTTGGACTGCGCTTTGGCTTACTACTTATTGGCTTTAGCCACGGCTCACTCTCTGGATGTTACTGCTACACAACTTGCACTGCTTTAACGTCTAGAGTTGACAACACAAACGCCTCTCAGCTTCTTGGTACATTCTGTCAGTTTATTCTGGTCCATTTATTCCACATGTTCAAACATTATTCACACTTTATCACTCGCGACATATTCGAACACTAACCAGTCACAACCTAAAAAACTACATCTTCAATTACTACAACCGTCTTCTCTGACCTCTGATGATCGACTGACCACGAGTCTAGCTCGGGCTTTCCCTCGCTTCCTCGACTAGGCACAAGTATCTCGTGCTGTCCCTTGTTGCACGGACTTTCTGCTTGCCACTATGTAATCGTGAGGACCATGCAAAGCAGGGTCATTACATCCTCCCGCCTTTTAACAAAATGATACTTTATGGAACATCAAGTATCATTTTCCATTCAACTTTTAAATGAATCAATGGCACTAAAATCTAACTTCGCTATTCGGGATTAGTGTTCCTAATTAGCATAAATTACTGCCCTTATTTTAATTTTCTACTGTATGCTTTTTCTAGTACTGAACTGGTGAAGGGTATCTATCTTTGCACGTATTGCAAATGTAGTATAGCTTCGTCACTATATCTATTCTATCAGGTTCAAGTGAAATGATCAGTGTGATGATGGTGATGATAATGGTCAACTTTGATATATTTACTACAGGAATAATAAATCAATTTAAATGTATTACTGCTAGGAATTATAGTTCCTGACTATCCTTAATTACTGCCCTTTAAAACTGCTTTCAGTATTTACTGCATGCTTTCCCTGTACTGAGCTGGTGAAGAGTTTATACCATCTTTACACCTATTGCATCTGTAGTATTGTTTAGTCACTATATCTAATCTATCAGGTTCAAAGTGAAATAATGATAATGATGATGATTGTCAGCTTTGAGATATTTACTGCATAGAAAAATGGATTCAACCAATATTTCTACATCACCTTTTACAGGGTGTTAAACCCCAAGGACTCTTAGCCGATATGATAGTGGTGAGATGATTGTCAGCTTTGAGATGTTTACTACATAGAGAATTGGATTCAACCAATATTTCTACATCACCTTTTACAGGGAATTCATCCCCAAGGACTCTTAGCCGATATGACAGTGGTGAGATATATTTTCATAGTGCTTTCGGTTTCCCAAAAGCCTCTATAACACCTTTTACAGGGTAATTACCCAACCCCAAGAAATCTACCACAGAAAAAAAATGCATGTTGAGATATTTTTTTCATAGACCAAAGTCTCACCTTTCACAGAGTAATTACCCAACTCCAAGGAATCCAACATGAAAACAATGATAGTTGAGATATGTTTTTCATAGATCTTAGAGTTTCCTCCAAGTCTATAACCACCTTTAACAGAGTATTCAACTCCAAGGAATCTCAGATGAAATGATGACTATTGGGATGATCTTTCATAGAGTTTAGGGTTTCCCCACCAGTCTCTACATCACCTTTAACAGAGTATTCAACTCCAAGGAATCCCACAACCTTTTCCCCCTTTAAATGGATACAGATGAGTTCAACTCCTCTACTGTGCTTGTGCTTTGATGTGTGCACTCTTTCTTTACCATCAGTCCATCTAGTCAGCATCAGTATAATTAAAGCAGTTTATAATCTTGGGTGTCGTGGACCAATTTACCATGTCCCTGTTCTGTACACCTATGTTAAAACATTTTAAATTGAATTTTGTATCTAAGTCATTCTGTGGAAAAAAATTTCTATATGATCTATCGCTAAATCTTGATCTAATTCTTCTGTGCTGTTCCTGGGGAGAGAAATTTTTTTTTTTTTTTTTTTTTTTTTTTTTTAAACTTTTGAACTACTGACTCTGTCATTACATGAATACTAAAATAATCCTAATGAACTACTAACCTAAGAAAACTTCATGTACACTATTAAAATACTACCCACAAATCTTTCATTCATCATTCATACCTGTTTTATTCTCTTTCATTTCCATTCATTCCATTAACTATCCTTGATCTTGATCCATCCCTGCAGGCTGTGTATGTCTTGCTTGTACTCTGACGCTTGCTTTCCAGGTTCTCATTACTTGGTTCCCTCGACAGTCTTGTCTGCTCTTGGGTCTTTCATGGTAGGATAGCTGGTAATCTTGGAAATATACTGACTAAAAATATTATAATTGTATAAGTTAACACAATATTATTAACAGTGTTCAGTGACTGTATACACTGATATGCCACCTTTAAAATAATAATTAAACAGAAGGTGTTCAATACACACAGTATGTGGCTGTTTTTTATAAATGAAATCAGGTGTTTATGCACTTTTTTAAAATACTTCATCATTAATTTGATATTTATTTACACAAAACTTTAGGTATGTAACATAATCTAACTTTCACAGTAGCTATCACAATTGTGTAAACATGATGTAATACTGACGTTTTTGTTGTTCTTGATTGCGTTTAACGGTCGGAATGCTTCATTATTCTCGCATTCTTTATTTTATGATACGTTTGGTATTCGATGATCTTGATGTCGATTTGTATAGCTGGTCTTGAAGTGTCGCTAAATATTTGATGATTTAGAGATGTTTCAATGGTCGATTTTGAGGTGTCTGGAGAAAATAATTTTGTGTTCCTTGATGGTGATTTTGAAATTTGAATAATTCGGTGGCTGATATGTTTCTGTTCATTCACTGTACAGTACTGGTTGGTGATTTCTGATTTTGATTGAAATTTGATAATCTTGAAGGTGAAGACTGCTAAACTGTCAATTCTTGATGATTGTTCAGGTTTACTCTTGATTGTTTGGTTGAAATAAGACAATCTTGAAGGTAAGAATGATAAAGTATTAATTCCTGATGATCGTTTAGGTTTACTTTTGGTCGTATGGTTGCAGGTGGTTCTATGTAGCTTCTTGACTGATGATAATATTGAATTTTATGCGTGGTGATATGTTAGATTGATGTTGATGTTCAGGATGATGGACCGTACAGTTTCAAGTTAGTAAATAATGATACTTCAGTTCATAAATAAAGATGGTAATTTTCCTTGAATCAGCTGTTATTTTTGTTGATGGAGATGACTTTGTTCCCAGACTCTTATATCTTCATCAGAACAGTCTCTAATGTTGAAGTCTTTGTATCCCAGAATCAGATCTGTTCCGATATCGTTCGTTACCAGTACTTTCAATGGTTTTGATATATAGGGCGACTTCAAATAAATATAAGCTGTCCGTAATCGCATCAAAAAATCTTCTCTGTCTAAACAGTAAATCATGTCTTCGCTTAAATCTGATTTTTCTATAAATTTTTCACGAACCAAAGTGATATTTGATTTTTTATTTAATTGCATTTGTGCTGGTTTGTTGTTTATCAAACATTTAGTTGACTTTCCACGATATTTTTTACTTGTTGCTATGTGGAATTGATCATAATCTATATATTTATTGTCCTCTAAGAATGAAAATTCTTTGTCCACAGTTTGCCTATCTATTATTTCACAATCTGTCTTTTTCATACACTGAGTTGCTTTTGTCTCGACTGATGTCATTGTTGGAACAGTGATATCCTTTGTTTGATTAATTTTCATTGTTTCTGAGTTTGACTTTTTCTCTGTTTCAGTGGCTGCTGTCTTTTTCGTTTCAACTTTCTTGCTTGTATTACTACTCTTCTTGCTGGATTCTAATTCTGCAATCACGATTTCGTTCTTAATTTTTTTAGTTCCTGGACATTTCAATTGGCTTTTTCCTATAAACATGATATGTGGAGCTGTAACTTTTCCTTGATTCTTTCTCCAGTAGCACAGTGAACAATCTAGAGTAGGAATACCTTCTGAATCCATTGTAACTGAATTAGTTTTTGTAAACAAGGATCTTTTCTTGTCTTTTAACATCTGTTTCCCAACACAGTGTTTTACAATATGTCCGAATGCCTTACAGAAGTGGCACTTTTTAAGGTTATTCTGTTGTTTATTTTGCCACTTTTTATTGACCAAGTCTTCAATATAACTTGAATATTTAGGATCTCTGTCGCAGATAGTTGCAGAACTGTGCTGGTACTTACAAAAACTGCACATCTTGATCTTCTGGTTACTTATCGATGTATCTTTCATTGTTGTCGCTGAAGATACTTGCAAGACAGTGTTCTTACTTTTTACCAACCTTTTAGACGACATTCTGATAAACGTACATCAATGCAAAAAATGTCACCGCAGTAAGAAAACTTAGCATACCTTTGTAAATAAAATTAGTTCATAGTCTGCTGGTTTCCGAAACAATAATCGTCACAAATCTGATTTAATTCACAAACTTGATATATAATATTTACGATGTGTAACTCTGGTGACCATGAAACTTCCTGAATTCGCCAAACTGAGTGATCCGGTGTGTGGCGCAGGGCGTAGATGACACACCGGTTTTCATTGGTCGGCAGCTGACCTGTCGGCGCTTGCTGTGTTAATTATAGGCCCTGCTCGGGTAAAAACGTTGTATTGTACACTGTTTTCCGCATGTTTGGTCTTACCTTGGAAAAAACAAAGATGTTTGCCTAATGATTGTGGTCCGTGTGGTTCTCAAATT